AACTTTACATTGATAGTAAGGAGATATGATAACAGTCTAACTTTACATTGATAGTAAGGAGATATGATAACAGTCTAACTTTACATTGATAGTAAGGAGATATGATAATAGTCTAACTTTACATTGATACTAAGGAGAAATTGAATTTGGAAATTAAAAAAATCCAAAATGAAGAAATTAAATTAAATAAAAGTTTTCGGGAAATATGATGATAATATTTAATTTAATTTTACACTAAACTAAGGATTAAAAGATGTGATAATAGTTTTAACTTTTACAATGAACTACGAAAACATTTAAATTAAATTCCAAAAAAAATTAAAGAAATTTAAAAGTTAAAAGAATTGAATTAAAAAATTTTGTAAAGAAGCAATAATAATAATAATTAATAATAATAATTAATAATAATAATTAATAATAATAATAATAATAATAATAATAATAATAATAATAATAATAATAATAATAACAATAATAATAATAATAATAACATAATAATAATTAATAAGAGTAATAATAAATAATAATAATAAAACTTACTTCAAGTCTTTTATCAGCATCCGTTTTAGCATTTTCCATTTGTGAAAGATTTCCTTCTGATTTATTCAAATTATTTTTGATTGTTTCCAATTTTTCAAATAAATCCGCTTTTTCTGTTTCCATTTTTTTCGCTGTTTCATCCAAATTTTTTCGTAAATTTTCTTCTTTTTGTAATGTTTCTTCAAGTGTTTTCAATTTTTCTTGTAATTTTTCCATTTCTTCAACAATTTTTCCTTCTTTTAACATTGGTCGTACTTTTGTATATAATTTAAACCATTCCCATGTACGTAATGAACACCATGCACGTACATTACGTTGAACAATTAATAAACCAGCTTTTTGTTGTATACGTCGTTTACGTTCGGTTAAACCTAAGTACCATCGTATTTGTGATTGTAATTTTGTTAGAAGCATTTTTAATGCTTCATCACGTACATCTTCTAAATGTGCTAATACACCTGCTTTAAAGAAAACTTTTGTTTCACCAAGACGAAAATTTTCCTCTGTTAAAATATTATCTTTAACAAGACGTTGTAACATTGCTTCAGCACATTTTCGTACATCTGTTGAACTTATTGATTCATCAGCAGCAAGTAATGAATAACGTTGTTTGAAATCTTTATGCATTGATCTAAAAAAAAAGAAGATTAAAAAGAAAAAAAAAAATTTAATTAAAAAAAAAGAAAAAGGGAGAAAAAGTGATAATTTTATGATTATATATTATTTAGGATATTTTATTAATTAAAATTTTTATATTAAAATTAAATTTTTTAATTTATAATTGTTAAATTTGCATCAAATATTTTAACCTATAATAATATTAATTTAATCAAAAAAGAAGAGAAAAGTGACAATTTTATAATTATATTATTTAAGGATATAATTAAAATTAAAACTTTTATATTAAAAAATCAAATTTTTTAATTATTGAATTTTTTTAGTTTTTAATTTTTTAATCTTTTTTTTTAATTTGTAATTATTAAATTTACATCAAATATTTCATCTTACTACAGAATTAATTTAATCAAAGAAAAAAGAAAAAATGATAATTTTATGATTATATTATTTAGGATATAATTAAATTAAAATTTTTGTATTGAAATCAAACTTTTTAATTTATATTTGACAAATTTACATCAAATATTTCGTCTTACAATAAAATTAATAAAATTAATTTAATCAAAAAAAAAAGAAAAAAGTGATACTTTTATAATTATATTATTTAGGATATAATTGAAATCAAAATTTTTATATTAAAATCAAATAATTGAAATTAAAATTTTTATATTAAAATCAAATTTTTTAATATGTAATCGTTAAATTTACATTAAATATTTCATCGTATAATAAAAATTTTTACTCCTTTATCATTTGTCACATAATATTATCAATTAATTGAAATAATTTAATATTGGATTATTACGAAATTTGAATAAATTTTTATTCGTAACAAAATTTCATCTAAAATACATTTCAATAACTTAATAAATTTATTCCAAATATAATTAAAATCAAAGATTTAAAATAGAAAATTTTTAATTAAAATTATTTCAAATTAAAAAAAAATTATTTAAATTATTAAAATGAAATAAAATAATACCTGTTAGGGAAACCTTTTACGACAAATTCGAATACCTTCCAGTACACCGTTACATGTAAGCTGATTTA